ATTCGGATTTTGTTGATCTCTTGAATTTGTGTTCAGAATATCAATTCAAACTAGAATGTTTAATAAGTTTTACAAACCATAGACGAAAAACACAGCATTGTGATAGAAGGAAACAAATCAAGAGATCAACAAAATCCGAATTTCGTGATACGTCTTCGCTAACTGTAATCGATTGTCATTAACTATTAATGTGTTTATTACTCAATTTAACGCATCTATTGCAAACAAAACAGTTTCTCAACTGAAAATTCTACTTGAACTTTCATTATCGAAAAAAGATCTAAAGTCTCTTATAGCAGAATATGGATCTTTTGCCCAATATACTTGACCATCTCATCATTTATAAAGAATACAAAGATGAAATTTTTTTGTACTGCTGCTTTGTTTGTCTTGGTTGATAGATTGATCATATCTATAGGTGTAAATAGATAGAATCAAAGAGATTCGTTTATTCTTAAGCGACAAACTTGTGATAATCAAACGACTATTTACAAAGTCTCTCATTAACATAGAAAGTTATGATATTTGAATGGATCTCTGAAATAAATGTTATATTCTTAGAAGCAGACTTGGTTTTTAGTTTTTAAAATAAATTAAAATTCATCTAAAGACAATGTGATATATACCTTGGACACATATAAAGTATAGACTTATTCAACAAAAAACCAACTAATCAAGAAAGATAGGAAGTATATCGTATAAGAAATAATATTGACAATATATTGTAGTATAATAATGTCCTAAAACGACTTGGGACGGTGAATGTGACTTTCGTGCTTCAAGATAAATAAAATAAATATTTGATTTTTAAGTAAAAACTAGTGAGAAGAATATTTCATTATATTTAAAAAACACATGATTTCCTGATAAGACTAAACTGAATAACTCAAACAATGGCGGTATAGTATTTCAAAATGCAAGGTTTTGGATAAAGAGCAGAATGTTGAATTAATAATTTTCTTTTCGGCAGAACATAACTGAATTTCTGTATAAAATTGAGGTTTCATATCTATTGCTGTTTGAAATACTTGCCAGACTACTTTCACATAAAATTGGCCATAAAACCCAAAATAAATGACTGCTCATAAGAAAATGCATTGATTAAAGGAAGCATTCCTAGATATTTTTGAGCTTACATTAGTTCAATAGTAAGGTATCATGATGCTATAACAATTTAAAAATGATGCGTACTCCTTCTGATTTTTGCCGAAAAAGATATGCAGACTTCTGAGAGCTTATATCTAGAACACATTATATTGAAAACTTGTGAGACTTCTTACAAAAGCTAATGCAAGTGAGAATCTACTAAAATTCTATCATCGGTATAACTCAAAAAGAGTACGTGTCGTTTTGGAATTGCTTTACTCACATAATGGTTACTACTGGGCAACCTATAGGCTCGAAAACATGTATACATGCTTCCCTGAAAGCATTTTTCAAAAATTAGAATGAGCTAAATTTCATTATTGAGCGTAATATCGATACTCGAAGTAACTATGCGTAAATGTTTTTAATATGAAAAGTAATTTTGAAGCCTCTCCTGTCATTTCAATGAAAAAAAAAATTTCACTGATAACAGGAGAGCAAACATATTGAATTTTTGTGTTGTAAAACATCAAATTGAACATCCAACAACACTATATCCTCATAAAATGTTAAGGCGTGAGTATAAGTTTTCTTATAGAAATATACTGAGCTTTTAATTAGTACCATTGATTCTCATTTTGACAATTTTTAGTCCGAGGTCAGAAATATTGCTATTCTCAATGGCAACTGATCAAAATTTGATGATCTTTGGCACCTACGTTAAAGTGGATTTAGCTCCTTCAGCATTGATTTTGCACATAAGCAGCCAGTTTATCTTCGTCAATAAAGATATGCATTTTACTCAAAATGAATGATGGTCAAAATAACTGTTTTATGTTGGTACACTATGACGTGTATCCATTATCTTAGATGAAAAATCTTCAGGTCACTCAGAATCTTACTGCTTCATGACGCAACTGAAAACCGTCCTTTCCACTGACAAAAAAATGTCTCGCTACGCTACTCAAAAGGCAGAGTGTTATACAATGGTGAACTGGATGAACATTCGCAGCTACACCGACCAAATCGCAGAAAAAAATAGAGAGACGACAAGTCGTTCACAATGATCTCATCATCATTACAAAAAGAGACTGACATGTCGATTGATATGCGACAGACAAACAAAATGCAAGCGACAGGAACAATGAAATCATTTTTGACGTAAGATGTGTACCGTATCAAAAGTAACATACCTGGCTGTGGTAGAGTTTCAGTTTTAGATGATGAAATAGATGTAACCGTGGCGGACTTCGAGACAGTAGCGATACTTGATTTAGCAGTGGATGTTGCATGTGATGTTGGCGTATCTGAACAAAGATAAAACAGGGTTATCGGCATTTGTATAAGTTTCTATTGAAAATATCCAAATCAGTGCTTCTGTTTGGTATGCATACTGCGATCAATCAATTGTCAATCGAAAAAACAAGCGAAAGCTCGCACTCAGTCGACACCAGGCCTACAACAGCTTCATATCAGTTCCAACCTTCAGAAGTGTCTCAACAGTTCTTTGATAGAAACTGATTTTCTCGGAATCTTTTTTGTGATAGGAACTGATCTATATATCAGTTATGTTTGAATGAGTTCATGCTACCAGATATCTCATTTTAACCTTTCCATAAGATTCGTAATTGCTTCATTCTGAACCATGCTGGCAAACTGCACAAATGTGCTGGAATGAGGTTGGCGAAAACTTGATGATAGAATAGTAGGACATCTATTCTCAAAAAGCGAACTGTTCACTAGAACCAGTTCATGAAGAAAGAACTATTTACTGGATCTAATTCTCGAAAAGAATCGGTTTATTGAGCTGAAAGCTATTGTAAGTATAGTCTATACTAGTGTTGAAAGAATGTTTAAAAAATTAGTTGAACTGCAAATCTAGGAGCAAAGCCGAATCTTGTCGGGTTCATAATAGACAACAAAATAAGCAGAGCTCAAATCCATATCATTCTAACTGTTTTCTTTGGTGCCACTTGGAAAATAAGCCAAGAAAGAACAGTCTACTTATACATAGGTATAGGTGTGACGTGTCAATGAAAGTAAAGATGATATTCTCATCCACATCTCCAAGATTTCTTGATCACAGAAAAGAGCTACTTCTGCACTTACCAATACAGACCGTTCATCTACCTACTCATAGATTCTCAGAGTTTGTTTGAATTTCTACTTATCTTTCAGTATCGGCTAGCACTAGGAATGAACCATTTAACTTGTCGTAAAACTAAATTTGATTTAATGCATTAGGCAAATTTTATTTAATTTCGAGTTTTTCTTTACTCCAGTACAGACTCACGTTGGTCTTATTTTTGACATATAGAAGAGGACTCCTTCTAACTCCTGATAGATCCGGAGAACAGTAGGCTTGGTCCGTGCAATAGAGAAAAACATATCTAGCACACATCTCATTGGTTTCACGGAAAAAAGGCTTTTAGACAGCCAGATTCCAGTAGAGTTCTTCTTCTCTATAGTAAGAACGACAAATTGTTTTTTCAAGTTCACTGGGGGTTAGCAGAGCTATTTTTCTATATGAGTCGAACCACACCAAGAGGAGTCCACATTGGAGTACAGGAAAACTTGAAATTAAATAATCTTTGCCGAACTCATTGATTTGAACTTAATTCTAAGCGAACAAAGTGCTGGGTAGCACCCAACTATCACTCAATCAAATTGATATAAAAGAAAGTTCATCTTTAAGTAGCATTCCAAAATTTTTCGATCAGCTTTCTAAGTATTTAATAGGTTTTGAAAAGAAGAAAAATATTTTACGAAAGAATGAGTAAAACAAACAGTTCTTTGACTGTTTAGGTTCTAATCGAGTCTTCTAACAAATAACAGTTTTTATTGAATTTTTTCAACTGATTCAGATATTTTGCATTCGATTTTTGTTGAAAAAAACGTTACAGATTAAGAAATATATATACACTACTTGTTTTTTTTTTCATTTAAAAATGTAGTCAAAACCAGTGTTGTCGAAAATCTGGGTATTTGCTGTGATTTTTCATAAAACTCATACTTTTGGAAGTCTCTATCAGTATGGATGCAGTAACACTTTTGCTTCAATCACAGCTTGTTTATAAGTTCTTGTTTTGCCTAAATCTTCTCTATCATGTTTCCTAGTATCATATGTTTCGTTGAGACATCCATGATCTGATCACAATTTCTTCAAAAAGCTAAGAAAAAAAATGTTAGTATGCTTTTTAACCGTATAAATAGACTCTCATGTGAATGAACGATGTAATCCTGATTAAACAGGATCAACACGTGCATTCTAAAGTCACTACACACAACTGTTCCAACACTTTTTCTGAGAACTTTAAAAATAGAAAGCAGTCGTCAGATTATGACCGATTTTACTGGTTCATAAGTAACTGAGAAGACCTCATTCGATTATTTTACACGAAATCGCACAAATTTCATTACTACAATATAGATTTTTACCTGGTTGCGCATCTTTTTTATGTGGATCCTATAAATATATGTTGCATTATACGTATATTAAGAAACAAACAACCTACAGCTGATGGAATGCTTGAAAACGGTGGTTCAAGAAGAACATGTGGCGGAGAGAGTTCTCGCAGATGTATGATGTATAAATCATTGGCAACTTTGACTTTGCTAACGACTTCAAAATAGAATCCAGGCAAGAGCAAAATCTCATCTTCTGTCTTGTAATATGAATGCGACTTGATGGCTTTCCCATTCATACATTCAATGTTGAAGAGAGTTCTTGGTCCTGAATCACCCAAGTACATGGGTTGTTCCAACACTTTGAGTGATAGAGTACACGAAGAGAATGCCCACCATATATAGCGCTCACCATCACGATATTTCAAATGAAGATCAGCCTTGACACCACGATAAATTACCTTAGTTGGGCCTGGCTGTATTTTAAAGAGTGCAGTAATAAATAACTTGAGGTAAGGAAACCATGGCTTAAGTTTTCGACGATCCCTGTCGCGCAACATCTCATTCAGAATCGAATATAAGTTGCGGGGCTTCACCTCCATGGTATAAAGATGAATAGCAGCCGATTCATCTGGAGAAAGATCATCGGCTGGTTCCTTCGATGCATTCTTAGCGATCCACACGTCCCGAGGCAAGTTACGAAAGAGCGACTTTATCGGTTCAATGGCTTCCTCGAGAGAAACAAGTATTGATTCCTGATAGTCTTCGAGTGGTTGTAGAACAGCTCCAGGTTCGTCACAAGTGTTTTCAATTAGACGGGGATTCCAATTGTTATTATCTTCTGATTCACCCATGATTGAGAAAGTACAGTTCTGCTAAAAACAAACAATAACTTTTTACTTCATCAGCAATTTAATGGCAACATGAGAGAGGAACTCCTGGGTATAGAAATATACTGCAAAAAAAACCATAGTTTTTAAGAGTACTTTCCTTCCTCACCTCAGAACTCAACATAAGTTTTCTATAAACTGGTTGTGCTAAAATTTTCTCTGGATTCAACCAATGATTCGAAAGAACTTATATTGGGCTTTCATCCAATAAAAAACTTAAACTCTGAAATCAAAGCTTCCATATTAAAAAGCAGGAACCAGTGTGGGTGAGGGTAGATGACTGACTGTGAATGAGGAAAGGATCCAACCATCGACTTATCTATCTCAATATCATTCTCACCAGGCGGAGTGTGTGAATGGGTATCAGTGTGGGTGAGGTTGTGTCTTGGGTTGTGGCAGGATGTGAGTGGGGATCATAGGGGACAAAAAAGGGGGCTCAGAAGCAATTTCCAGTTGCCAATTCTCTTTTGAATCGAGACTATGTGCATTAGGTAGGCTTTAAGGAACGATGAACATCCTGAAGAGTTAGTACTTACA